ACGCTGGCCCTAAGCCATGTAGGGCTTTAAAGGTAATAACCAACACCTTGAATTGCGTTCGGAGACCAATTGGTAGCCAGTGCAGATCGCGGAGGACAGGTGTAATGCGAGAGTACCGCGGTACACCCCATATCGCTCGCGCGGCCGCATTCTGGACTAGCTGCAGTCTCCGAACGCTTTTCAAGGGTAGCCCCATGTAGAGCGCATTGCAATAATCCAGCCTTGAGGTGACAAGGGCCCTAGTAACCGTTTGAAGTGCCTCCCAATCCAAATAGTTAATAATTCCCTGCTCAATGTGATTTCTTCATTCTGGCAGCAAGAAGCGCAGCTCCTTGTTCCGCAAGATCACCAAGCAGTCAAATTTGCTGCACACCAGCCGTAGCTTATCATCCTTGAATCGCTCCTTATCCTCCAGCGATAGTTTGCCTGGCTCACCCACCCATGGGTTGGGTGCCCGTTCACCCACCCAGAGCCTGCGGTCGACTCCTGACTCTGCATACCTAGGTAAGTGGTTAGGACAGCTGTGGTTGCTATTGGTGGGGATTAGATGGGGTTAGATGGTGGGGGTTAGAAGGATAATGAGAACTGACTTACATGCTGGGAATAATTTTCTTGGCCTTTAAAGAAGACTAAAGACGTAGCTGGTGCATCTGGCTTCTTTTTTTTTAATCAAGCTTTATTTTCATTAAAAAATGGTGATATTCTTTAGTTCAGATGGGAAACCAGTAATCCAAAGATTGCTGGTATAATTTCTAGGATTGCCCAATGGTTATATTAGCTAGCATTTCCAATCAGCCTTATCAAAAGAGCCAAAGATTCTCCACTTCCCATCCTCAAAAGGTCTGATTTTGGTAAAATGCTCTTTTCCATTGCCAGTTAGGAGTCGTCCCGTCCCCCCCCCCCCGCCCCGGTGGCCTTTCCACCTAATCCTGCGTAGTAGGTTTGAGAGAGATTGTAAGGTTCTACTCTGCATTTCTCACTTAAAGAAATCATGAAATACAGGCGTTGCAGTCCTAAATTGGATCCTCAACTCACAAATAAGCCATTACAAATTGAACCAATACCCCAAAGATAAGGCCGTAGTACTTCCAGTTTAAGAGCCACTGATCTAGATCGGTGTAAAAATGTGTGAATGAGGAACATGCCCTGGTCAATCGTCCGGTGGGTCTGTAAGATGGAAGCCCTGTGCCGTTTCCTTGCACCTCTTCTGATTCTCTAAATGGTGCATGAGAAAGGGCTCCATGCAGTGGTGGGATTCAGCCGGTTCACACCTATTCGGGAGAACCAGTTGGTAACTTTCTAAGCAGTTCAGAGAACCGGTTGTTGGAAGAAATCTTATTTTATTTTTTTCCCACTTTTCAGGGCTAATCCTGTAAGGAAGGCAGGAAGGAAACATTCTGGTGTTGTTTCTAGCCTAATCTTTATTGCCCTGCTTACAGAAACTGCCTCTCTGGTTAACCCTTATTATTACATTGTAACAGCTAAGGCGAAGCGCCCATTGACCTGAGTGGCATTGAGTTGGCCATGCCCACCCAGTCAAATGACCATTGAGCCTCATCTACCCTGCTGGTCATTAGGACAGAGAACCGGTTGTTGGAAGAAATCTTATTTTATTTTTTTCCCACTTTCCAGGGCTAATCCTGTAAGGAAGGCAGGAAGGAA